AGTGGCCTGCCAACTGCTGCATAAAACCGCTCTCGGCTAAGTCAATGTACACAACAAAAGGGGCACCCACACTGGTGAACTTCTTGTGCACCTTCCACCGCCCACCAAAGAAACAGGTTGCGCTACAGACCTCGGAAGAGCTTCTGGGCAATATGCAGAGGGTTTCCAAAGCGGAAGTTCTCCCCACTGAACAGGGCCAGGATAAGCTGGCTTTGTTGCTCCATACTGTCCTCCGGAAAGTGAGGCAGGAACTGCTGGAGGTATTCGCGTTGACGGTCACTTAGTACTTCTTGCCATGTTGAGAGGCTGACCACATCAAAGAATATCTCAGGCTAGAAGAATTAGGAAAAACAAGAGGAAAGTACGCAAGATAAAAATGAAAGGTTTTTAACCTAGAATTCCAATGATCCTTACTCACTTCTCTAAACAATAGAGACTAACAGACCAAAATCATACACTCAACGATAATCTAAAGGAAGGTATCTCAGTGGAGTGAATACCCTTTGGTAACCTTATTGATCAATAAAGTCCACTGTCCTTCAGACAATTCCAACTCAACAACCCTACAAGGGTCGTGTGAGTTCTGAGACGGCAACTCTTTATGGGAGTAGAAAGCCTTCTTTCTCCCAGGAGTGTTTGGTGCTTTCGAATGACTGACCTTGCAGTCAACAGCCCAGCGCAAAATCACTATGTCACCAAAGCTCCTCTCTAGCAACAAGGGGTATGATATTGGACATCTAAAATCTGCTTTAACTTATTAGCAGGAAAAAGTTAAAGTAGGAGAGAACTTGAAAGTGAGGACATTTGCTCAGAGTAAAAAGCAACAATCAGCTCAACAATTAGTATCTCCTTTGTGCCAAGTACTAAGGCAGGTGTGAATAGGTCTCGGAGATACAGGGTAATTTAGCAAGAAAGGTATTCCAGTAGAAGATAGTAGGAGAAGCACACTCAGTCCCAGAAAGCCTACAAATGGGAGTGATATTTAAGGACTTGGAGAGCAAAGGGAAAATAGATGGTGGCTGAGAAAACCCAGAGTAAAACATTCAAAAGAAAAGAACCATTAGTACAAAAGGGCGGCAGTCCTAAAGGGGAAACATTAAGAGATGACGAGGGGACCTATGTTACTGGCGATAATCTACTTATCCTATGTAGTGCTACATGGGTATTCATTTTCCTACATATAAGTATCTACACATTTAATATTTTCTTTGTTATGGATTGAACTAGGTTCCCTGACCCCACCCCACTCCAAATGTACATTGTAAATCCTAGCCTCTATACCTGTCATTACAATCTCACTTGGTTTTGTTATGTTAATGAGGTAGGTCTGGAGTAGGGCTTATCTTGAGTAGAGCTCGCTTGAGATAAATGAGATTAAACAAGGGAACGCAGTAGAGATGGGGAATGACTGATGCCAAGCCACATGAAGATCTCCAAAGGACCAGGAAACAAGCTGGAGACATGCTTCCTTCAAGGCCAACAGAGAAAGCCTGCACCCACAGCCAGAATCCTGACCTGGGATTTCTAGCCTCCAAAAGTATGAGAAAATAAATGTCTGCTCATTCAAGGCACTCATGGGTGGCAATTCTACTACACTTGCTGCTGTTAGGTTTTAGCAAGTCAGTTCCAACTCACAGTCAGAATATACATACACAACAGAACAAAACAAGGCCTGGTCCTGTGCCATCCTCACAATCATTCCTATATCCCCATTGTTGCAACTACTTTCTTCTTTTTCACTGTATTGGGCTATGATCCACATGGTCAGTAGTTCGAAACTACCAGCAGTTCTGAGGGAGAAAGACTGGGCTTTTTACTTCCGTATTGTTACAGTCTTGGAAACACAGAGGGTCACTATGAAACAGCACTGATTCGAAGGCAACAAGTTTGTTTGTGACTTTGCCACATATGGTGTCCTTCTCCAGAATGCTTTCCCCGTAATAAAATGTCCACAAGTTCTTCAGACAAAATTTCAGTATCCTTACTTCTAAGATTATCTTGTGGCTGTTTGTTTTGTTTTTGTTTTCATTTTTGAGGGAACTTCAAACAACTCATGGTAAAAATGCCATTGTCTTAAGACATAGTGATGCTAACTGCAAGGTCAATGGCTTCTCCATGGGAGAAAGATGGAGAAAAACAGGGTTTTCTACTCCAATAAAGACAGAAACGTGGGTGAAGGGAGGCAGTGGACGGTGTAAAATACTAAAATAAAAATAATTTCTTTTTAAAAATAAATTTCTTTTCATTACACATTTACACAAACTTTCGAAGCCCACTGTATGGAGCGATGAAAACAGTCAGGCACACCTATTCCTCAACATGACAGGTTTGCTATAGGACACGCTGGAGTCTTTGGCAGCAGACTTGCCCAGTGCACAGCATTAGACAGTTGCTTCCATGGGTGTTGACTATGGATGTAAGTCAAGTAAAATCCCCGACAGCTTTCAGTCTTCTCTATATTTAATCTGATGGTGGCATTAGTGAAGTTGTGAAGATTTTTGTTTCCTTTATATTGACATGTAATCCATACCGAAGGCTGTAGTTTCTGATCATCATCAGTAAGTGCTTCAAGTCCTCTCTCAGAAACCAAGGTTGTGTCAACTACATATCACAGGTTTGACCCTTCCTCTTAATTCTGATGTCATGTTCTTTATAAAGTCCAATTCCAGGGATGATCTGCTCAGCATACAGACTGAGTAAGTACGATGAAAGGATACAAACCTGACACATGCCGTTCCTAATTTTAAACCGTTCCATAACTTCCTTGTTGTATGAACCACCACCTCTTGGCACCAACACAACTACGCAGAACTAGATAAGACTCTTCTATGTATTTTGGTCTTTCTCTATTAAAAAAATTAGTTCAAATATTATTTGGCTGCAGTAGACAGGGTAGAGAGAGCGGAGGCAGCCGACAATAGAAAAAGTAGCACGGAACTTGAAGTACAGTCAACACTTGTCTTTCTCCTAAGGATAATTGGGAGCCAAAAGACAACGGAGAGAGCAAACCCACCTCGGAGACTTCTCCACATGCATAAATCAAAAGACCCTCGGCCTCAGTGTCCAGGATCTCCCCCAGCACATCTATTTCTATTCATTCTAATTCAATGGCTGACACACTGTATCCAGTAAAACAAGTCATTGCTTACACTAAACAAATAATTACAATATTTACCTAAAAGAGTACAGTACACAAAACTAAAAAACACAGATGAGATAAATCGACATCAGGTTTGGTAGTTACTACTTCAGATAAGAGGAGGAGTAGATAAGGGCACAATGGCAGCTTCCATTTTATTTGCAATCTTTTGATATACTGAAATTAAAATTTTGAGTAAAAATGAAAAGAAATTATCTCACAAGCAACCCTTTATACATCAACGCAAAACACTGCCTGATCCTCACAAGCATTCCGATGCTGGAGGTCACTGTTGTATCCACTATGTCAACCTATCTCATTGAGGATCCACCTCTTTTTCGCTGGTCCTCTATTTTATAAAGCATAACATCTTCCTCTAAGGCGGGTTCCTCTTGATAACATGTCCAAAGTACAGGAGAGAAAGTCTTGTAATCCTAGCTTTAAAGAACAGTCTACCAGGACAAAATTTGTGTATTCGTCTGGCAGTTTATGGTATGTTCAATACACGTACTTCGCCAACACTGGAATTTAAAGCATCAATTCTTCTAAAGTCTTCCTTCTTCTTCGTGCAGCTTTTGCACACTCAGGAGGTGATTGAAGCTACTTTGTCAGAAGGGCTTTAGTCCTCAAAATCATACCATTGCTCTGGTCACACTTTAATAGAGAGCTTTGGCAGATCTGCCCACTGCAAATGTTTGGATCCTTGTTAACTGTGGATCCAAGTAAAATAAAATCCTTGATAACTTCAATTTTTTCTCCATTTATCATGATGTTTACTGGCTTGGTTGTTGAATACTTTTCTTTATTTATCTATTTTTGTACTTTTATTTTCTTAACATTGAGATTTAATTAAAGGCTATAGTCTTCGATTCCTAGATAATAAATTCTATACTGTTAGTGTTGTAAGCTGTCAATTGATTTCAACTTATAGACCCTGTACGACAGAGTAGAACAGGCCCGTAATGTTTTCTTGGCTGTCATCTCTACAGATACAGACCACCAGGTCCTCCTCCTGTGGATGTCCCTGGGTGGGTTTGAACTGTCAAATGTTCATTAGCCAAATGCTTGGCCATCGTGCCATCAGGGCTCTCGATAGTATCTCTATACTTGCCTAGGTGTTAAATGTGTCCAAACCACCAAAAGAAACGTGTCTGGACATCAACAAGGCCTTGCACATAACATAATAAATGGCATCCGTGTTAGTTATACATCTAGTCCATGAACGCAGTCAACATGCTGACATTCTATTTCAGGGCATGGTCTGGCACTTTAACAAGGTTACCTTATGAACAAATAATATGTCTGTGTTTTATTTAATCATTCACACCATAGGTAGCCATTTGAATAATTTCAAACAACAACAATCTAGCACCCAGGAATTCCGCTTCATTTCAGGGTGACCACATATAATGTAGAATAGAACTGTGCTCCATAGGGTTTTCAAGGTTGTATCCCGGGGTGGCTTCAAACCAGTCAAGTTTCAGTTAGTAGTCAAACTCTTATAAAGTGTTTGTGTCACTCGGGGACATTTTGATGGAAACACATAGCTAATTTTACTATTAGAATATAAAACTTTTTAATGACCATAAATTACTTGATTAAAATAATAGTTATATGTCATATTACCAAACTATTCTGACACGTTATTAAACATGCAGGAGGTAGCTTTTAATTTAAACTTTAACTGGAATGTAAAATGTTACACTTGAAAAAAAAAATCGTACTCTAGCAGTAATGTAGAAAAAGAAACAAGAGCACAGCAGACTGGACATTTATAGGAAGTGGAAAAGGTTCAGGAGCGTTCCTCGGAGAAAGCTGAAAGAAGGAAACGGCTGAACTGAAGAGCAAGGTCAATACTCACATCCTCTAGGAGGTCCTCAGGCAGACTCACTCTGGTGCCTCCCAGCAAGCAGTCCTCCATAATACGGGTGCCATGGCCATCTCCACAAGGACCCAGTTCCAAAGGATCCGTCAGCATATGATCCAAGGAATCCATCGTTTATTTGTCGCAAGTGCTCTTGATCAATATATTCAATGATACCTTAAATAAAACCAAAAAACCAACCAGTTTAGTCAGCTTCAACATGTCAGAGAAAGCTACGCTCCACTGGGTTTTCAGGTCTTTCTCAGAAGATGCCTCTGGGTAGAATACAAAGTGCCAACTTTCAAAGTGCAAACAGTTGCTCAGCAAACTTCACTCTTTGCACCAGCTCTGAAAAAACAAAAAACCAAACTGTGGTTTGATTCCGACTCATAGAACAGAGTAGAAAACTGCCCCGGTGGGTTTCAGAGACTGCCAGTGCAAACCTCTATGAGAGCAGAAAACCTCATCTTTCTCCCATGGAACAGGAGGTGGTTTTGAACAGCTGACCTTGCCATTTGGTTAGCAGTCCAATGTGTAACCCACTATACAACCAGGGCTCCTTACCACCCAGATCCAAAACTCACTGCCACCGAGTTGATTCTGACGCACAGCGACCCTAGAAGAAAAAGCACGCTCTCTCTGTGGGTTTGTGAGACTGCAAATCCTTATGGGAGTAAAAAGCTTCATCTTTCTCCTGTGGAACAGCTGGTGGTTTTGAAGTGCTCATCTTCAGGTTAGACTCCCAACATGTAACACACTATGCCACCAGAGCTCCTTACCACTCAGATATAGGAAAGCAGAAATCCTGGGAACCACAACTCTTGCAGGAAAGATTCAGACCCAGAAGACATTCACTCTCAACAGCTGTAGTTTCTTCTAATCCTCCTTACCCCCTAACTACAGCTAAACAGCTACTGCCCCTCTCCATCCCTTCTACCAAAGCATTTTCATCCAAATTTCCAAATCTTATGTGGTACGGTTGGTTTTTTTTAAATAGTTTTACTAGAATACACTTCACATATCATACAATTTGCTAATTCAATCATATAAATTGTGCAATCACCACCACAATCTACTTCAGAAAATTTTCTTTTTGTACTAGTTGTTAGCACCCCTTTCCCCCCATGCTCCCCTGCCAGACTCCTATGTAATTATCAATCTAGTTACTGTCTCCATAGATTTATCTATCCAGTATTATATATATAGAAAAACACACAAAATGGATTTTGGGTTTCCAGTCACCCAAACGGTTGTTCACAATTTAAGCTGATACCATTCCCTCCTGCAGATTTGGGTTTTATTGTTTACAATCCTTGGATCACACAGGCTGGTGTGCTTTTTCATATGTGGACTTAGTTGACGCCTCATGTTAGGGTTCTTGTTTCTCAGGATGCTCATATACTAACTCCTAAATTCATAGACTTCTTATGTTAACATGGCCTTATTAATAATCCACATAGACTCCTGAGGCTCCAGAAGCTGACCATGTCAGTGGTCAATATGCATTTGGTTAGTGCACTCGATATTTATCACAGGGCAATGTATTCTTCCTGTAGTAACTGAACACTGTTGATCACCTTAAGAAAGTGCATATTAAAACATTTTCTGATAGAAGCTAGCTTATGACCAGAATCAGACAAAAAGGTGGGGCCAAAGGAGTTAACATTAAATGTACCACAAAGAATTTAAAGTCAATCACAATACAAGCATTTACTAAACCCATTCTCTCCAGCTCCTATTCCTTTTGTAATGAAGTTAATCTAACTAGGCTAACAAGCACAGAAAAATTTAAGAGCCCAAATACCAGACTGCTGGCCACTAATTCCCAGTGACTTTACACAAATCTTACCTCTCCAGGTGCACAATGTACATCCGTACAATGAAATGCTGATGCAACAGGTCTTCTCTACTGTTATCTGCAATCTGAAATTCTGTAATGAATTCTCTCCTGACAGCTTACATTATGTAATAAAGATACTTCTCATTTCCAAGACTCGCTCAAATGCTAAAACGTAGCTATTATACGTTTTATAAGATAAAACACTTCTCCACTACATCATTTGCAATTAACTTGAGGTGATTCCCAACCTATATAAAGAAACAGGTAAAAGATTAGTGTCGGGTCAAGGAAAGTGAGAGGCCTCCAACTGTACCCCACTATCCATGGTGAAATCCCAACATCCTCAACATTCCTAGTGGGAGTAGATGAGAAAACGCATGGCATGAATTTATTACAACTTTAAAATAGAAAAGGAAAAATAGACTGGTACTTAGCGTAAACTTTGGCACAGTAAGGATAACAGCTGCAAAGGTAATATTCTGACTCTTGAGAGCATCACCTGTTCGCACAACTTACAGGCTTTCTCAGCTAAGGTGAACATCTAGCTAAAATGAATCTACCCAAGAGAAAACCTTTGCTCTATCACTATTTTGATCGGGGCCTCAAAATACAAAAAGCTGGCAGTTGTCACGGTGTTGGCAACACCGGAAGCCAAGGGTTTCTAGGTCCTTTTGGTGGCTATGGCCACTTCAGCAATCCAGGAAGGCCTCTTTCAATGGCCCTCCCTCTGCACCTGGCCGGCGACCTCCTCTCCCCTTTTGGGCCCTCCCCAACACAGAAGCCAAACCCATGACTTCCTGAGCAAGTACCTAGACCAGCTCCAAATCCGTGAAGGCAGCAGCAAACTCCTGCACACCGGGCCCCGCCCCACCGCAGCTCCAAGCCCGGATCCAGCCTCCTCAGTACAGACCTACCTAGCCCTCGGCCCCTCCCCCAACAGTGTGCCTAACCTTAACCCCCACCCACGGGGGCAGCGGAGACTCGGTGCGCTCGCTCGCTCGCTCCTCCACCCACTGGAGCCCCCACGCTCGGAGATCCAGCCGCTTCCCCCTTCCGCTCCTCAAGAACATTTCCACCCTTTGGGGACCCCGACCCGCCCGCACCTGAGCTGTGGGCCGGGTCCCCCAGCCCGCTATGATTTTCCGGCAGTAGAACGGGCTCGCTCCCGCACGACGTCCCGATGCGCGCACGCCTC